CTGCTAGATTCTCGGTGAAGACGACGCGGCGATCGAAGTTGGGCTTGGCCACGAGCTTCAGGGCCTGCTTCTCGGTGGTGACCAGCCTAACGTCTACCCGCTTTCGGATATTCTCAATGGTCTTGCCAAAGACGGAGTTGACCATCAGCTTGAAGAAGTCTTTTTCGGAGTCGGTCTTGGCCTTGGCGCGAAGAGCAGTATTCAGATCCACGTAGTGCTTGAGCCATGGGGATTGTCTGAATCTGATGATACGACGGCATTTCGTAAGCTTCATCCCCATCTCCAGATACATCTTGAGATTTCTGTAGTGGAGGGTATACTTTTCGCGCTTGCCTAGATGGGGCACAAGCTTACGCACCTTACCGATCTCCACGTTCTCGGGCGCGAGAGGGTAGTCATTGTGGGCGTCGTGAAGATCCTGCGGATATTCGAGATCGCATTCTACCATGGCGCCATATTCATGGTCGTCGGGATAGCTCAGGATCTCGTCGATCTCCTCCGGCTCCACCCACTCAAAGTCCCCCGTGGGAAGAGGCTGCGCCATCGCCCACCCGTAAAGATTATTGGCATCGAGGTAGGTGAGATACTTGGTGGGCTGGGAGCGATCGTAGGTCTCCATGTAGGGGTTGTTGGCCTTACCTTGACGATGAGAGATCATGGCCACCCCTCCCCTTGTCCCGCTCTCGAACATCATCAGCATATCTGGATCGGAAAGAAGCTCCAATCTAACCCCGGTGGTTTTTAGCATGGCATCGAAGGATAGCCCGGGGGAGGAGAAGTAGTGGACAGGATCGAGTCCATAGTTGGCCATGCAGATATCCCTAAAATTCTCGAAGATGTCGACTAGCAGTAGCACGTCAGTCTCGAGATAGAGGTCGTGATAATCGCGTAGGGTCTTGCACTCGAAGGTCTCCCAGACTCTCTGAGCGTGTGCGTAATCCTTATCACTGATATGCTCTCCGGAGAGCGTGCTGAAGAAGGCTTCTTTAGGTGGGAGCTGAGTCTCTTCCAGCTTGGCTGGTCCATCCATATAATCGTAGGGAAATACCCCCTTCCGAATCATCAGCTCGTGGCGATCGCTGAATCTCGTCTTCACGGTCGCGAATTGGTAGGGGGTGAGATTCTTAGCTAGGGTATCCAGGCTGTTGAGCATAAACCTACACGAGTCGATGAACCTCATCTCCAGATCACCCACCTGCTTGGAGAAGCTGATGTACTTCTCGTCGGTATTGGGGATGCAGTTGATTTTACCCTCAGTGTGGCCAAGCTCCTTGACAAAGATGTGGGCGTCGTACCCGCTCAAATTATGGAAGAGGATGGGGACGTGCTTCGGAAGCTGGAAATCCAGATTGCACTGGTTGTGCGCTGCGCCGCGATATTTCCCGGTGAGATGGTCGTGGTCCCGGACCTTATCCTCTCCCAATTCGTCTCCGCAAATGTAGCAGTGCGTGCTTTCTGCGAAGCTCACCTTATCGTCGTCAGTCAGCTCCATGGGCTTATTCTCCTTGTATAGCTTGGCGATGGCCTGCACTTCTTCCTCCACGCACTGCACGAATTTCTTTGCCGCATCCTCCCCGCAGTAGACGACCGGATCCTTGTAGTCTCCGTGAGCATATTTCACGTGATAGCAGAAGCCTGAAGGTCGCTGAAGCTGGTAGGCATTCGTGTAGGAGTGGGATGGATCCGGCTGGCAGGTGTCGAGCTTCTCTGTGAAGCACTCGAAATCCGCGTAGATCGCGAAGGGGACTCTCATCATCTTTTTGATACTATGGAAGGCTATGGTGGTCCCCTCTTCCGGCATCTCGATCCTGACTGCATCTTTCTTGCTGCAATATTCCATATGCTCGTCCAAGATATTCTGCCTGGAGAAGTGGGAAAGGCATCTGCGACAGAAGAAAAGCTCATGACCGTGCTCAGAGATTTGAGAGCTCAAGAGTCGTGAGAGGCTCTTGATCCAGCAGTAATGCTGCTTACCTTCGCGAGTCAAGAAGAGGAGATCTACGTGGGTGGGGCCCGTATTCTTAGATATCCTGAGGGGGTAAATCTGAAGATCCTCTTCCTCATCCTCACCCTTCTTTACGCCGTTGAAGCCATAGACGTTGACGTTGATTGCGGGATTCTGCCTCTCAAATTTATCGATCGCCCTGAGCGAGACTGGGAAGTCGATGCCTTCGAATTTTAGCTCTTCTTCCCATTTCTTGTACTGCGATACGCGGTTGGTGGATTTCTGGTCGACTTCCTCATGGTGAAGGGCTGCCAGCACTGCCCACTGGAGGCAGCGATCATCCTCATTTTTCACATTGACGATCGCCTTCTTTTTCACGAGAGCCAATGGGGTTGATATGAAGGAGCCCCCCTTGAGTGGCTTGAATTGGTTGAGGTGGATTTCTAGCTTCTCGACGCTGCTGAAAGTCCACCCGCTCCCTTCCCGCATGTACTTTGCCATATTTTCCTTGACCTTCTCCATCATGAAGGCAATCTCCAATTCGAGGTCGTCAGATTCCGTGATCATTGTCGTGCGTGATCTGAAGGTAGGGGTGATGTAGGTATTTTCTCCGGTCGCGAGGTTGGTCTTCACCAGCTCTGCTAGAAGCACTAAGTGCACCTTCAATCCCTTCTTTTGAACGAGTGCATTCGAGATGGCGCTGGTGATGGTGCTCCGACTTACCTTCAGAAAAGTGGTCATATCGTGCGGCTTCGCGGGTTCGATGACGACCGTGCCAAATACGCCATTCAGAGCTTCCCGCCTATCGATGACCTTGATCTCATCCTCGACTGGAGCGTTTTTGATGTCCTCTTCCACCAGCTGGATCAGATCGTCTCTCTTGAGCTGAGAGTACTTGGTGAGGCCACGATTCTTTGCTAGCGCTTTGAGCTGCTTCTTGCTGAAGACTTCCTGGCGGGCAAATTTATGGGTGGTTTTCTCCTCGATGAGCTTCACCAAGGCCTCCTTGTTCTTCCTACTGACCCCCCTCAGACCCTCATCCCTAGCTATTTGACGGAGGGTCTTCATGGTCTCTTTTACCACCATCTTACCCTCGACTGGGATGGTCTCCTCCTCCTCCTGCTGGCTTGGTTGCTTGCTATGTCTCCAGCAGAGACCATCCTTCCCGGGCTTGCTCTTGCAGAACTGACCCTTCTTCCTCTTGAGCGGAACATTGCAAGTGGTCTTCTGCTCCCCTAGTTGATGATGCTCAAATCGCGACTTAGTGGATTGTGAACCGCATTTTTGACACTGCTCGGTATGCTCATCCATCTGCACTATGTTTGGAGCATTGCAGCACTGCTGCTGCCTTTGGGGGGTTGGGGTGCTATCCTCCAAATCTTCTTCATTCTCCAGAAAGAAATCCATCATATTTCTTTCGGATGTCATATCTTTATTTATTTTAATCTGTGACATCCTTTCCTTTAAGGTATCCTTATCCCCACTATCCTCTGGAGCGACTTTTCTACCATCGAATACATATGCCATTCTTGTATTTATCCTATGCTCAATAGGGATGCCGTCCGTTTGCATTTGGCCGTCGGGGCTGGGGGTCCTATGCAGGATTTCCCCTTGAAAATGCGATTGCGGCAGAATCGGCCTTTTCATACTACTAGTCCATAATATCAAATCCACGGAAATTTGTTTTCGTTTTCGTTTTGCTTTGGATTCTCGAACTGTGGTGCACAATCAGAATTAAAAAAAAAACATTCAGCTGTTGCATTTCACAAGAGCCTATTATTATCAAATGACTCCATAATGTCAGAGGGGATGACTTTAGATATGATTATCAAATGACTCCATAATGTCAGAGGGGATGACTTTAGATATGATTATCAAATGACTCCATAATGTCAGAGGGGATGACTTTAGATATGATTATCAAATGACTCCATAATGTCAGAGGGGATGACTTTAGATATGATTATCAAATGACTCCATAATGTCAGAGGGGATGCTTTAGATATGATTATCAAATGACTCCATAATGTCAGATGGGATGACTTTAGACGTGTTTTAAGCCGGAAAACGTTGTTCAATAATTTTGATGGAAAGAAAACTCCTTTTTTATTTTCATTTTCTGATCGTCTATTATTGAGTTGACTATGTACGGACAATCGTAAATATGCATATCTGTCGCGTGGAACTAAATGTGCATCATGCCATAATTCTTATTTATGTCAATGATCTGGACGATTTTATGTTCAGCCATGTGATGGCAACAAACATATATTATTTTTAAACCGTAATTATAATAATATTTTTCGAAAATCAAACTGAATTGCAACATTTATATTTCTTTATTCTGGATAATAGAAAAAAGCAGTTACAAACATTAAATTAAGTCATAAGTCATCAGGCAGTTAGTTTTCTAGTTTAAATTGCATTTTACATTTCGAAGCCTTTTATAGCTTACTATGCGGTATGGGTTTTTGCTATTTGTTGAAGGTCGTACGGTGACCAATAGTTGTTAACTTCTACGTCATTTGGTCTCTGGTGGGGAGGTGTCTCATAGGCAATCTTAACCCATCTTAAAAACATGTTTTACTTCAAATTGTTTATCTTGAAACTCCGGATGTGAAGCAGACAGTGAAAACATTTATTTACTGAACATGATATAAATGTTGCATCTTTTAATGTAAAAATGAGAAGATTGGGTACGATTGCCAATAAGACAACTATCTCCCAAAGACCAAATGAAGTAGATTTAATCAATAACAGGCCACCGTTCGGCCTTCAAAAGTGAACAAAACCTACACTGTATAGAAAGCTATACAAATGTAAGTGTATTTTCTACATGTATTGTTTTCTATGTTTTTCTCTTTGGGAATGGTGTCAATTATATATATGCATATATATTTTCTATGTACGCAATGTGTATACATTGTAGTAGTATGTATATATTTCGTATTTGCATTTAATTTTGAATAAATGACATTGTAGTTGTTTACCTTGCACACATTTGATACTCTTTGTGTTATTCCTTCTAATTTATTTTTTAGGATTATGCCAGGAAAGGATAGTTCATTTAAGTGTTACATCACTCGTGTTCTTTCCTTCGTAAAGTAAACAATTTAATTCATTGCTTTGATTTGCAATTCAGTTACATGATGCGGAGATCTGAAAAGCGGTTTCTGATAAACTTTACGTGTTTATTTTGTTTAATTTGGATATGTGTCACATTCTTAATCAGTAAAAAATACAACTTACTTTTAAGTCAAACATGGATGGAAAGAAGCGCAAACTATTTCAATGTTAAAACTCTACGAAATATGTCGAACAGATCTGAACGTTTGGATTATATCAAAGAAAAAGCTGGATTCAAACATCAGTTAGCAGATCAAGTAAACATCCCTTATAGATGGGCTACAAACTACAGTAACTCCACAGTGGGTAGGTAATACATATGAGACAGTTATGTTTTTTTTTAAATCAATACATTTTTGTGTGTTTTACTATATATATATATATATATATGATACATTTAAAAGTAAACTAAATTGGTAATATCAGAAATAATAGTTTCCTCTGTCCCTTATTAAGAAAAGCTGTTCCAAATGTCGCAATTTTGTACACGAAGAAAAAAGCAGTGTGTTATTTGAGAATAAGTTTCACTCGTTGCCAAATATAAGTGGAAGTTTGTCTCGATGCTTTCTGTAGATCTTTTTGCCTTTTAATTTTTTTACGGGTGAATTTGAAATTCAAAAGGTACTGAACACACTGAAAACGATTTAGTACAGATCTAGACTGACCATACCAGGGGTGTCCGAACAGCATTCGTAAATATAGTTTTATAAATATCTTAAAATTATCTGAAAAAGTTGACCGCGTATTTCCTCTATACTTGTTTCATGTGCTTGTACTTTGTTAAAAAAGGAAGAATGATTCCTCGTGGAATTTGCACATAAAAGATTTGCGACATTTTTACAAATATTTGTTAGATCAAAATTTGATTCATACCCTTCTTGAAGACAACTTTGATAACTTGTTGCATTCTACATTTTTGGAAAGCTAATCGTGTATGAAGTGACGTGTAAAGCACGAAATATAATAATTTGTTAAGAAATTACTAAGATACTTCTGTTAAAACGTTTGTCTTTGTTTTGTATGTTCTTATCATTTATCTGTAGATTTTGAATTAATACTCAAAGTCCGACAAAAACTAAATAGTATATTAACACTTTCTGTACAGGGTCATGTCCAGAATCTTTTATACCAGGGGTTAAGATAAAAAAGAAAAGGTTACAATGAGGGTGTATAGAAGCAGTAGATAGGTGTCAAATAATATTCTCCCGATGGTACCCTGGGGTATAGGAAAAGGTGCAAGTTTTTCCATTTGAGGGGTATAGCTCATCGTGCAAGGAGCGTCAGCTTTACTGTGTTTGATACTTTTAAAATACAAAGTCATGTTTACGGTTTGAATCCGATGCCTTGTGGAGGAAGAGTATGGTGATCTCTGCACGTTAAAAAAACACCTGTAACAACTCTTTGAAGTGGAAATCAGTATGTACATAAAGTGTAAAGTTGTAAACCCGAAGTATCTTGACTGAAAGTACTCTCGAGCCCCTACCCATCCCGCTAATTATATAAATCTGCGTCTGTTTAAGTTTGATTAAATATTTTGAAGAAATAGTAGAAAGTTGTCAAAACAGCATCAATAATCGTAAAATCAAGATATTATACTTTGAATTTTAGTAAAAATTTGTAGGTTCTTCTTGAAAAATATGTAGTTAGTCCCAGATTTTTCCATTCGGACTTGTCATATCGGGTCAGCTCAAGATGACCGTTTTTAAAGACAAAACTTTGTTTTTAGTGTATGCATACAGAACATTGTAAGTCTCTTAAGGTCATGTGTTCATTTTAACAACTCTGCAATTGCTGGTTGTCAATGTGATATGCACCCCATACTAGCTACAATATTTTATGGTGAAATCTGCATTGTACTGTGAACTGAAACCTGCGCATCAGGATGAGCGAGTGGTTAGACGACCGAGAAGAAGGATTATACAATCTATTTATAATGATTATAGCTACTGACTCGCTATGCACTCTTTGCTTAACCAAAATGAAAGAGGTAATACTACATGATCATTATGAAATTAATAAATAAAAAAAAGTTACAGAATAGGTTTGAAATGATAACCAAGCAGCAATTTATAATTTGTAACAACACCAGCAGCTCAATAAAACTGCAAGTATGGCAGTGACAAACACAAAATAACGGCTAGTCGCCAGACACAGCAGACCATTCCAGATCTTTTTTTAAGTTGAACTTCGGATTTTGGTTTGGTTCATGTAGTTTAATTTTGTATGTAGTGTTTTGTGGACGATTGTTTTACTTATGAGGAGTCGATTAATGATTTTGGCCGTGTTTGATTTTTGTAGATCTTTTCTTTCCTGTGGTTTGAGTTATTAACATTTCTCGTTGTCTACTTTATTTTTCAAGATAAATAGCTAAAAATGCAAAGTGGAACGGTAATTAAAGGGCAATAACTCCCATAAGGAGTCATTAACATTTCAGTCAAGTTGATTTATTTTTAGATGCATCGATTATCAAAGTTCCTCCCTGTCTATTCATCTTTTTTAAAGAAAAACTTGTCTTTAAAGGAAAATAACTCCTAGAAGAAGTCGACTATCGATTTGGCTTATTTATAGCACTTGTCTAACTGATTGTTTTAAGTTATTCCATCAACTATAGTTTTCCTGATTATAAAAAACAAATAAGAAACCCAAATCTTTTCATGACAATAACTCCTACATGTATAAGGAATCAATCGACTTATTTCTGCCATGTTTGACTTATTTGTAGTTTCTGTCCTGCTGGTCAGTTTTGCTATTTAAATTTAAGTGAATGGACGACGACGGACGCCAAGAGATAACAATAGCAGTTCGCGCTGGCCATTTGAGCCAGGTGAGCTTAACAGCAATACAGTATGCTCTCAGCATAAGGCCGACAGAATTGTTATTTGAACAACTTAAACAATTGAAAACAGAAGATGTTTTTCAATATCAAAATATGCTATTCACTCTATGAATCCATCTCACATGTAATTTCATTTTCCTGTTTTGTATAATTCTATAGTACATAAATACTAAGAAAGAAAAGTCCTTACTATTGTCATTTGCCTTGTTTGATTCTCAAGCCGTTTAAATATGTGTTGTTTCAAAAAGAAGATATACTTCTTTTTCGAAAAGAAAATCGAGCACACGCAAAGAATAGGTAAGCCCAAATCATAACCTCATAGTTTGAATAACATAAAAAATGAAGATAGTTCAATGAGACTGCAACCCAAGCAAACGACACGAATCTCAAAATACATCTAGTTTAAGAGGTCAACATACGTTTTTCCATAATAGACGAAAGTCTACACAATATGTCAAAGTGTGAAAGTCTAGAAATGTCGTGACAGATACTATCAGGGATCTACCACCGACATTAAATTCCCTAAATTAATAAACATAAGACATAACTAAAGACAACCACATACGAGATCTTGTAATAGGAACATAAACATCAACTTTTTTCTATTAAATCTTGAGTGTGTTATGACTTAACAGTGATTTTTACGCATAATAATTTAGTAATTTATTAACAACATGTATTCGGAGTTTTAATTGTATACAATTTTTATATTATTTTTAAGGATATAAAGGTGAAGGTGTAAGTGTTGATGTAAGCCGTCTGTCACCTGAACAGAAACAGAGATATGACGACGGATGGAAGAAAAATGCTTTCAATCAATATGCTAGTGACATAATACCAGTTAATCGATACGTCGGAGATCACAGGCACGATTTGTAAGACAAAAATACGTATAATACCGTATTCATGTGCATGGCACGTTTAATAACTTTAAACAGGTTCGCTTGATTTTAAAAGCTCGGAAAGCCAATAATATGTGTTCGAGAGCATAGAAATATTAAGGTTATATACTGTTAGCAAATTCGTCTCAAGTTAAAATGAATCATTCCGAATAAAAAAGGTAGTGAATAAATGATACTATCCGATCTGTCATCAAGGACAAATTCCTTAAACGACAAAAACTTTAAGATATTACAAAAACAACCGGCGATGTTACGCGTGTGGGGAAATGAATTTTCTAGATGAGTATAACTGTATAACTGTTACATGTGGAAGTTCAAACTAGTTTTTTTTATATTTCAACCCTTATCTTTATAATCCTATAAGTGGAAGTTAAAAAAAAGTGTACAATAAAAATCAGGTACTTCTATAATAATGAACTCATCATAGATACCAGGATAAAAATTTGGTACTCCAGACGTGCGTTTCGCTTACAAAAGACTCATCAGTGACGCTCGAATCAAAAAAGTAAAAACGGCTAAAATAACTGTACGACAGATCACAAACACGTAAGTGCAAGCAACGCAAAAATAAATTATACGATATCGTATATCAAGCAATGCTCACAGTTGCTTTTTACAAGCTTAAGGCACTTAATCTGCTGATATGAAATAATGCTTTCCAACAGTATCGGCGGGTGTAATTCGGAGTGGATTTCATACAGCAAAGAAGCAAAAGAGACATGGACAATATAAATTGAATCTTCTGCAATACCCAGAGTAAATCTGTTTATAATTTTATGGCAGAAAAAAAAAAAAAAAAAAAAAATATTAACATGTTTCAAACTATAATTAAGCGAAATGATGTTAATATAAAAAGAACACCTGACGCAATGGTTGGACAACACCAATATAATTTTAACCCTAAGCAAAAAGTTATTAAGCCAAAATCAAATATCTACAAAACTAAAGTCAAAAATTATTTGCTTTGCAGATAACTTAGCGTAAACAAATAAATTTCTGATTTTATCAAATTCGCGCATATAAAATCATATTTTTTGTCAATAATAAAATTGAGAATGGAAATGGGGAATATGTCAAAGAGACAACAACCCGACCAAAGAGCAGATAACAGCCGAATCTATATATTTATGATATATAATCAAGGAAATATTTTGACCAATTCATGATATTATCTATATACCTAGCTATTTTAAAAGATATAAGCAGTGAAAGTGATACGTTCGTTGCCATTGAGACGTCACTGCAAATACGTGCATGTCTAACAAACTGAGAAATGTACACTCCATAAGAAAGAAACATCAAAATTTCATCATCAATGAGAGAAAAAAATAACAAAAAGAATAAAAACTCGTCACGTTTGTTAAAAAAAAGGGAGAAGTGCCAGGGAATGAGGATAAAAAAAAAACATTAGTTAAAACCAACAAACAAACATTGAATAACATAAATTATCTTTTGTAGTTTGATTATACTTGCAGGTGTAGAAAGATGGTTTATAAGGAAAATTTACCAGAAGCATCAGTTGTAATCATATTCCATAACGAGGCTTGGAGTGTCTTATGGAGAACTGTATACAGTATATTAAACACATCACCTTCACATCTATTGAAGGACATCTTCCTAGTTGATGATGCCTCAACACAAGGTTAATATGATACTTAAAGAGTAAATATGAATAGAAGGGGTGATACTTGTAGAATAAATGTTATTGGAAGGATATGCATATATATGTGGGGTATTCACCAAACAGCAACCCAACGAAACAAATACACATCAAGGGGACAACGCGGTCTTCAACAACAGACAAGTACATGTATGTATACCATAAAGGTTAAACTCTCTTTACGTCTGGCATAGATCATTAAGGGGATGACACATGTTTTTTTCGATAGTTAACAAGCTGCTCTTTCTCCCTCTCATATCTGTATTATTTAAAGTAGCACAACCGTCTAATTCAGAACAATTTGGGTGATTGTATTTGAATAATTATAATTTTATAATTTTGAAGAAGTATCATGTTAAAGAAGAGATTGTCAGTAACCATTTCCAGAAGAGTTGGTAAACCCAAAATTACATGCCAAATTGTTGACCTAAATTATTATTTACACTATTTTTTGTTCTAAGATTAGCATTGTCAGCTTTTGAGATGTTCCATATATGTCTATTTCATCTACAAATAATTGAATGCGTTTGGTCCGTTAGAATTACTTCCCTTTGTTTACACTCGTAGCCTTTGTTGCCGAAATTACTTTGTTAACAAATGTTAACACTATGTCGATGTTCATGCGTGATACACATAGTAGAATCCTGGGGTTCCTAGAAAGTTGAAATTAAAAGAAAAACAATAATCATTGTTTGGGTTGAGAATTATAAAGAGTAAACACATTTTCTAGAGGTTATTAATCAATGTGTTAACTGGGCCTCTGACTTACAAACTTCCCATACCCTCTGACTTTGATTTAGTTTGTGATTCAGCGTCATGATTTACACTTCAATAACTTCTAGATTTTTTTTTTTAAATGCTACAAAAATGTCTCACATATTTGCTATACGATCCTGTTAAAAAAAATATTTATTTTGAATATTATTGATTTTGAAGGTACTTGGTTCGAATAAAAGGTCTATAGGTCATAATGTAAGAAAACTACGACACGGTTTTAGCGCTAGTTTCAGGTGCTTATTTATGCAAAATAAAACTTCTAAATATGGCACCTATTTAAGAATGTCCTTATTTGTAATACGAGTAACAGTTTAAGCAGTAGCTCATTTTCTTGTAATACCTCATCTGTCTTTATATCTCTGCAGATGACAAAGGTCTAGCATTTAAAACATAAACAGCTGCAGATTGACGTGCTACTTTAATTTATTATTTTACTGAATCGTCTATTATCATTGTCATTTAAATTATATATTTTTTTCTCGTTTTTTTATTGGTCGAAACGAAAGGATTACATTGAGAATATAAAAAAAAACATTTGTTACCCGCTGAGCCATGTGTTAGAGCAGACATTTACCCTCGTATTAACCAATAAGTTTAAAGCTGCCGTTTGGGTATGAAGTATAATAAGGACATCAATTGAATAAGACGATCCTCGTTGTAGCCAATCAAGAACCTTTATTATTATATTCCTATTAAGAATGTGAAAATTCTATTTTAGGACATCTACATCAGAGGCTAACCAAAGAAGTTGATAAATTTTGTAATGTTCATCTGCTTCGAACTGGTGTCAGATCAGGCTTAATCAAAGCTCGATTATTGGGCTTTTCACATGTCAACACAACAGTTGCCATATTTTTAGACTCTCACTGTGAATGTTCGGATGGTATGTAATATTTCATAAACAAGATGGTGATTATTTTTGTCATTTTATGTAGATATTTTATTTACTTTGATAACGATATTCCCATTTCAAAAATGATAATTTATTTACTTTGATAACGATATTCCCATTTCAAAAATCCTATATGTATTTTTTTAAATGCCTTTCCCACGTTGGCATTTACTTGGCGTAAAATAAACATTCTTTCTCAATGTGTCTGTGAAAACTTTAACAATTTATACACATGATTTAGTTAAGTGTTGATAAGGAATGCCTACCTTGAGTGCTTAGAGTAATTCTATAACATTACTCCGAGATAAAATGAGAGTTTACTTTCAACCTATTGTATTTGCTCAAGGCATACCAAAAAGAATTTTTCAACAGTATCCTTCCCCACAAAATAAAATGTGATTAAAGTTAATATACATTGAACATGTTAAATATATTGTATTTGTTTTAGGCTGGCTGGAACCTCTTTTAGATAAGATAGAAAATTGTAACAGAACAGTTGCTGTTCCCTTAGCTGATGAAATCTCAGCAGAAACATTTCAGTTTAATCCGGTAAACATAGAATATATGCACATGGGAGGATTTGACTTCGATTTAAATTTTAACTGGAGACCTGTACCTCAAGAAGAATTGAAGAGGAGAACCAGTATTATAGACTCTGTAAAGTACTCATCCTCCTTTAAAGATAGTCATATATTATTTAGGGGAAAATATATTTGATAACTGAAAGGTTTTTCGAAAATGCAAGATATTAATGATTGTTAACCATAATCTTTTAGGTATATACATTTTGCTTACAAAGATTTGAAATGAAGATGAAAAGCAGACTAACTTGACTGTGATTAAAATTACAAACATTAAATATTCTATTACTTTTTCTAACTTTGCAAATTTTTGTGGTTTTGCCTTCAAACTATTTTGATTCGAGCGCCACTGATGAGTCTTGTGATGCCGAAAAACGTGTCTGGCGTACCAAATTATAAGCCTGGTACAGTTTTATCTTTGATGGGTGTGTGGTTTATAATCGTTAAAGACAAACAGTTCTGACATTTTGTCATTATTTAACAAATCTAATTATCATTTTCAGAACTCCAACGTTCCTTGGGTGTTGTTTTGCAATTAGTGTGGATTTCTTCAAACATTTAGGAACATACGACCCAGGCTTCCAGATATGGGGGTCAGAAAATTTAGAACTATCTTTCAAGGTATGTTTTATATGAATAATTAAAATACACAGTAATTTATAATATCAAAAGGAACATACAAATTCAGTCAATATATGTATAAAGCATTCTTTTAGACCACCGTGCCGTAGTTGTCTATTAAACTTATCATTTTTCAGAAATCACTAGATTGGTCAATCTGTATGCAGTAAAGAAGACAAAGGTGATAAATTTTCTATGTGTACGTATATTAACAAAGTGCTTCATCTTGAACAAAAATTGAAAAATTATTTGTTTAAATCTGAAATATTGGAGTTTAACATAATCAATATACGCTGTTTTCAAACCCAAAAATCTACTATGGACTCAAAAGAAATAATCTGATATTACATTCCTCAATTTACAGATTTCACGAAGTATTCTCATAAAATTAAGTCGAAAGTATGTGTGAGTGTCCATTTAGTATTTAAAACGTCTGACCTTCAGAAGTGAAAACAATTTTAAATAGACTAAGTGTTGTCTACGGCTAACCATTTAGCTGATTAATTGTAGGAAGGTCCGAATATTGAAAATTACAAAAGTTTACCGGCAAATCAGACAGACCTTTTCCCTTCAAATAGATTTGATATACATATATATTAAAATAAAGTATAATGAGATTAAATTTTAAAATGATCATCGTGGTACTTAATTGGAAAATCAATTGTCCGGTACAGTGCACATAAAGTTTAAGCTTCTTTTTTCTAACCTGTAACACGAAAAGGCATTTGCGCTCCAGACACTGTGGACATTTTCGCTTTAAACTTTGATACACCTGTACTAAATTACCCGGACATTTGCACTTGTTAACTATAAAAGGGTATCTGTACTATCAATTGTGAACGATCATAGAGAAAACGGACAACATATTTTTTACATGTACGACAAATTTAGTGTGATTGTATTATGTAAAAGACACTTTTATAGATGGAAGATACTTAAATTATTCCAGCAGCTTTATACCTTGATGAATTTTAAAACGGAAACTATATTCGTCTAGTGTTCATCCGTTTACATGGAAAGTCTATCATCATGATTGGTATTAAAGATTTATTTCAATACATACGCCTTCTTGAAGTATTGTCGTTTTCGTTCGGATCGGGCATGGTGGCGAAATACTCAGTCGTTTGGACTCTCTAAGGAACATGTGATGTAGAAAACTGGTAACATACAACATGTACAATTTTCGAGCTGTCGTTTCTTCCAGATAAGAATGTTGAAGATTCCGTTATAGATGATATGATGACTGAAGCTCCCCAATAATCTTGATGTTATCAAATTTGCAGATTATATAACAGAAATTACGTAACCGTTGACTAAAACTCAGATGCTATGTTGATAAAGAGCAAACGTCCTACAGAAAAGGGCAAATGTCTTAAGTATTGAAGCGTGAATGTTCATTAAAAAAGCACAAGTATCTCGCCGTCAGGATATAATTGATAATTTGATAAAAAAAAAAAAACAATTCAATTTTACAAAATCAATTAGCATGACATCACACATGTATGTCTATTAGCTTGGAGCAAAATCCAATTCAAAAGTTAGCACAATGTGCACATTGCTGAACTCAATGTTAAGCTGCAGAAGTCTTGTGTAATTGCAGTTCGACTGCTATCTCATTGATGTTCATTGGCATTTCGTTTTATTTAGATATCTATGCAAAAGAAAGCTTTATTTTTGTTTTTATAAAATTATTACAACAATTTCGAGGATAACGACAAACTGTAATTCAAGGTAAATAAGAAAAAAAGCAAAAGGAACTTGCATTTGGACAGAGATACATTTGTAACTGTGAATGTCCGAACAGACAACATAACTAGGTTGCCAATATTTATGACCACTAATCTAAGACAATGAGTGTTACATGTAGATGGTAAAGAATGAATATCAAAGCGATCAAATGTAGATACGGAGCAAATTCCATAGGAACGATAAACAATGAAAAGATGTAGCTTAAATATCATTATGATAACAACCCAATAGTAAAAAGGTCTAAAGGTCAATGTGCGATGCACATGTGCACACATCATATCTTTTGGATACATTGAAGTTATTTCAGTTTTAAAAAAAGTTCAATTTGAGAAAAAGGGAAAAGCATTTAGTACCCATTTTACAAGTTTAAAGGTGTGCATTAGACTGATAAATCTGTTTCAAATATGATCGATGTAGTAACAAACCTGGGACCTAAGACAGCATCTGCCAGTTTAAACGTATGCTTTAAGAAATCCGAATTTAAATGGTTAAACCTTATATATGTGTCATCTGTACTATTATTTGTCTGTTTGTCTTTTTATTTTTGGCCATGGCGTTGTCAGTTTGTTTTCGATCTATGAGTTTGACTGTCCCTCTGGTATCTTTCGTCCCTCTTTTATATACATAAAAATGATTTTTTCCTGTGCATACTTAAACTCAGTTTTGTATTGACCTGTGTTTTTACAATGTAGACCTGGATGTGTGGTGGATCACTGGAAATTATTCCCTGTTCTCACATTGGTCATATGTTCCGGAATACCATGCCATATTCCTGGGGTGATAATGGCATGCAAATATTGATAAAAAACAGTCTCCGATTGGCTGAAGTTTGGATGGATGACTTTAAAAGGTTTTATCATGACAGAATATTTTATAACATAAAAGTAAGTAAGCATAAAAAAATCTACAAATTAGAATATGGTGATTTGAATAAGGACAGAAAATTCTTACATGCACTTGACATAACCGCCGGCAAAATACAAATGTGACAGAGATTGTATTGCTGGTCTCCACTTTGAAGTCACAGAGAGAACTCTAATGCAGAAAAAAGGTCTAACCTCCCTAATGGTACAATGCGGTCTCTAGAACCTGATTGTGTGTTAGTGTGTTTGTGTACGTGTCACCAAACGTGTTTGCTCTCTGATTCTGAACACCTTTTCCTCAAATGTATGATCCGTAGCTATCGCGGCTGTTTGATGCCTTAGTATGCCTATGATCATATCTATTACTTAATTGTGTTATAATAAACAACTGCTTCTGCCTCTGAATTCATTTAAGTAAATATTATGATAAAAAATAAAATGTATTACCGATTCAATGTTCAAAGAAAATTCAATCATTTTCCGTAAAATAAAAACCACCCGTGTTCAATAACATAGTATTTATCTTTTCGAATCATATCCACTTACTTTGCAAATAGGCGTTTGTCAAGGAATAACTTAATAGTTTTTTCGTTTCAGAATATGTTATGATAAATTGAAGTTCAATTTTGTGGTTATTATTCTTTTTGTTTAGTATTTCCAATTTAGAATTGGCATGTAAAGCTAAATGGTAAAAATATAAATATCAACTCCACTTTTTCATATATTTTTCATAAAGATGTTTTAGATGTTTATTTCAAAATACAGCTCAGCCGCAGTAACTGCGTAACAAGAGCGACAATATATACATGTTTGTATATAGCAGCGCAGTTTACTTAATCCTTCATGTTATTTGTTTTCGTTTTTATTATAATTTTAAAAAAATGCTCACTTAAAGCTTAATAAAAAAGACCATAATCTTAAAGCGCTCAATCCATTTTCTTTTGCAATTTAATTATTCATTTGTTTTCATTTTTATTTTCATTTAAGAATAAGTACTCATTCAAAATCAAAACTTTTACAGTCTTATGCTTTTTTCGATTTTTTTTCATGTTGTTTTTTTTTTTTACTAAAACAACATCCATTACCTAAAGCAACAACTATTCGATCCTTCTTTTTTGGCATTCAAGAAATATGTATTTCATAAATGTGAGCATTCCAGGAAGGCATACTTAAATGGGATCTGTGTTAAATATTTGAACAATTATTTGCCAAAAAATAAACTTGATATTGTGTAACAAAGCGTGGTGAAAAGTCAGCTTACAGAAATATCATATACACTCTATAGCCATGTCAATTACCTGTATGGTTATTAATTACATCATACATGTCATACTCAGCGAAATATGTACAGGCGTTATAATCAATTGGGGGGAAAATATTGATAACTTAGACATTTACGTTAAAGGACATTATTTTTATATCTAAGAAATTATATATTGAAAGTTATTGCATTTTTGTAGTTTGATATCGGTGACATTACAGACCGTAAAAAATTAAGAAGGTCTCTTAAGTGTCACAGTTTTGACTGGTATTTGAAAAACGTGTATCCAGGATTATTTCTTCCATATAACAGTCAGGCCACAGGACATGTAAGTATCACACATATGATAAAACATTGGTTTTATTTATTACCTAGCCCTACGGGTGCCATCTACAAAAAATAACTGGTGTTAGTAACTTTCGTTTTCTGCGTGATAACAGACATATTCCAACCAATCTGTCTTCGAATTCCATGCGATATTGATTCTGCAAATACTGTAATCAGTATGAAGATTAAGACCCATATGTGGTTTCTTGTTTATCATAAAGCTATTCAAATTTCTCAGAAAAATATACCTCATAGCAATTAAAATGATTGTACAGTACTAATTGTACTTTTCTCAAGCATACTAGCTTGACAACATCAGACTAAGGAATATGAAACCAATGCCTAAAACAGCGTCATAATAGCGTTCAATCTGAAACAATGCCAACCATATCAAATGAAGACGCTTCTTCTACTATTGTAATGTGACTACAAATGTAAATGGAGCAAATGTTTGATCTTAAGGTATCTAGACTGACCCTTTTGAAAGCTGAGAAAATTTAATTAAGATTTTTTTATACAAACATGTACGTATTACGCTCACTGTCGTATGCATGAATTTTTTAAGACAAGACAAGACAAGACAAGACAAGACAAGACAAGACAAGACAAGACAAGACAAGACAAGACAAGACAAGACAAGACAAGACAAGACAAGACAAGACAAGACAAGACAAGACAAGACAAGACAAGACAAGACAAGACAAGACAAGACAAGACAAGACAAGACAAGACAAGACAAGACAAGACAAGACAAGACAAGACAAGACAAGACAAGACAAGACAAGACAAGACAAGACAAGACAAGACTAGACTTATTTAAGTCTCACCTCTTCATTTTATAAAACATTGAAAATAGTTAATAACACATAATCATTAAACATACAAGAGCCACATTACCTACACTATTTAATTAGCAATATAAAATACAACTTATTTTCAATAAAATGTCATTGCAGATTTTAGCAGTATAAAAGTAAATGTGAATAAAAATATAAAGGAGTAGGTCCAGTAAGACCCCTTTTTGGCCCCAAAATATAGCAGTTTTACAAAATTGTTAAAATGTAAACTTTAAGTTATTTATTGGTAAGAAGAATGTTTCTGCTACATAAATATGGGCTGTTTTTGACAATAAAATGCACATATATCGGGTACTAGCATCCTTTACTCAGGCTAAATTACTGAAATCTTCACAATTTTAGCATTTTAGTTAAATTTTAGACGGTTTCCGTCTAAAATGAAAGTGGCCGCACTTGTGTTCATTCTTAATATTGAAATGCAAGTTGTATTTGATGATAATACATAACATATATAAAGGTTGAGGATGAACACGGATGCGGCCACTTTCATTTTTGACAAAAACCATCTAAAAAGTGACATTTTTGGCATATTTGATATATTTTTCATATTTAAGCTTGAATCGGAGCTTTTGTAATGACTAAATCAGTTAAAATCTTTCACATAAACTAATAGAATCAACTGAAATAGACACTTTAGTGTTCAAAAAGTGTCCAAAATCCTCGTCATATGAACCTGAAATTTGAGGCCAAAATCGGCCCTTACCGGACCTACTCCTTTATCGTCATCATTCATTACAAGTGTTGGTAAAACAAATTTTTTTTCAACTAAAAGACCTTCATACCTTCCAATCTCAATTTGCAAAGAAAGCAGTACCACTTCTAAATTTTTCAAATGCTCTTCTGTATTTTCCAGGTATGTTTTCAATAATTATTTTTCTTCGTAAAATTCACTATGATAATCAAAATTTTATCCGGCTTTCAATTGTCATACATTGTCTGTGTTGATTCGGAGCTTAAAACAACTAAATATCTTTTGATCTATTTTTTGTTTTTGTTTGTTTCTTTTATAAACAGATACGCAATGCAGCTACTGAATTGTGTATAGAATCTCCAGTGATGGGCTTTATGATGTACAGAGAAGTTAATCTTAAGCCATGTAGCGATTACGCGTTCAATCAGGTATACTTGTTTCGGTATAAAATCATTTAATTTTGAAAGAACTTAAAAAAATGGTAGTTATTCGCTAATTAATAACTGAATGTCTTCGTTAAATAAATGATGTAACCTAATGTCATACTTTATTCTTTTTTTTTTTTAATCTACATAAGGTAATACGGATGTGTAAATTATTGTATTTTGTTCACTTCAGCACTGGACGTTAACAGAGGACAACACAATTAGACGAGATGAGGGATGCCTTGGTTATCAGGGACTTCACTCTTTTGTAGTCATGCCATGTAACCCTCTCGCCTCACAGATTAAATGGACATATTCACAAGTATAGTCATTTGTTTCTTGCATAAAATATAACAGTTAAAACTCACAAACACACAAAAATACACAAAACTTAATCGTATTTAAGTCTAGTTAACAATGCAACGAATCAAGCGAAGTTTGTGCTAAATGTCAACGAGAAAAACAAAACAAATATGTATGTCTGAAGTTGTCCATCAACCAAACTTAAACAAAATGACACTATTGACCATAATAGCGTAAGAATTTATTGTTCATTTTCCTATTTGTTATTAATTTAAATAGTTTTGTAACCATTTCAAAATGTCTTCCACTAATTCGCACAAAAGGAGTCCCCGAATTTTCTATGATATAAAATAGATGTCTCATTAGACCCAAGTATTGGGTGTTATTCAGGATGTTTATAAATGTGCATTTAAAACTTATTCAACCACATCTGAGTATAAAAAGGAAAAATTAAGCATTTCTTCCAAAGAAACGACAAATAAAAATGTGTAGAATAATTCTATAAATGTATACAATGCACGTAAATATGACCCAACGATATTTATGTAATACGAATAAAGACCATAAAAGGGCAATCCCACAGTTAAACTCATTGAAAATTATATTAAATAACCTGGTTTTATGGTGTCTTCAATCTATTCAAACATTTGAAAAATATATATTCAACCTATGCCTACAAACAAAATTCAATAGGTGTTGTTATAACGATTGATAATAAATTACAGTCAGTATTTTTTAGCCTTAAAAAATACTCATTTAGAATAAGAAACAACAGTTAAATACTTGTAAAATTATGCTGTAGTAAAAATATGAAATTTGAAGATAAAAATAGTCAAAATAATGCAATAGAACACTTCTATATGGAAAAAAAATGTGTTGTTCTAAATACAAAATAAAAAATAAACCTAAACAAATATAAATCAAAAAAGTAAAAATAAAGTAAAAATATATTTTATTTGTGAATTTATTAATATACAAGATTTGTTCACTTATGACATGTTGCCGAGTCTCGAAGCTAAAAAGTGCATTAAATCTAATTTATGTCTTCTATTTAAATTTAAATTTTATTTTGAAAAGTTGCTTAATTATCTTTTTGGTAATAACATAAAGACAAATTGGCTTTTTAATTACTAGTTTTGAGAGTTCTTTGATGAAGTATGATTTCTACGTGTTTGAAACATAATTCCCTATTGAATTTTACAATTATTTAAAAAAGAATAGTGCACTAATATTTTTGTCAAATAAGTTCTACATTGCCAAATTCAATACACAGAGAATTACATTTTGGTAAGCACATATGAGTAGCGGCATTATTATATCAATGTACATAAAAGTATGAACGGTAATACGTCAGACGGCTCCTGAAACTTTCAGATTTTGAGAGGCCAGATATGTACTTTCTAGAATATATGATATTCACAACAAATAATATGTCCGTTTATCAGACTATTTAAGCTGCATATATGTATACAGTAGTTTTCATGTAATATACCAAATCTCAATATTAAAGTGATATGTTTTTCTAAAAAAAAAACCCACTAAAGTATATGTATATATATATATATATGTCTTTTGTATGATGTAATACTAATAGTGAACGTTGTAAATTTGTATTTAATTCACGTGTAAGTATTGATAATTTACGAAATATGTGCTTTGGTATATTACAATACATGGAAATGCTGAATATATCACTATTGTAATAAGAAGTAACACAACCATATACAAAAACACAATTATTTCAATTATACTGAACTGTGAATTAAATACACTTTTCAATGTAAAGCAGATTTTAGATAGTGCTTAACACTCCTTACTTTCATGCATTTCTACATCGGATCTGTGTTTTTGTTAGAAGTATTTCTGCTTTGCATAGATCTGATGAGTAAAGCCCTTTTCAAGTAATTTTTATAGTTTGTTCTTATGTTGTACTGATACATGTAAACCACTGTGCCAGGTTAGGGGAAGGTTGGCGCCTTCAAATTAGTTTAACCCCGCCACATTCTGTATGTGCCTGTCCCAAGTCAGAAGCCTGCAATTCAGTGATTGTCGTTTGTTGCTGTATATCATATTTGTTTTTCGTTCATTATTTTGTGCATAAATCAGGCGTTAGATTTCTCTTTTGAATTGTTTTACATTTGTCATTTCGGGGCCTTTATAGCTGACTATGTAGTATGGGTATTATTCACTGTTGAAGACCGTACGGTAACCCATAGCTGTTAACTTCTATGTCATTTGGTCTCTGGTGGACAGTTGTCACATTGGCAATTATGCCCCTTTTTTATTTTATATTTGACGTAATTCTACTTAAAATATCAACAAATATGTTCATCATATATTGTATGGTATCCACGTGATACTGGTATACATGTATATAATATGTTTATAAACGAAAATCCTTAATTTTCATTGTTTTATTATGTTACTTCTTAATACAATGAGATCGGCAACACATAGAGTTGCCTCCATTTTCACTATCACAAGTATCAACAATAGTTTTGAGTACACTTAAACGCTAGTTTTAAACTGGTTGTAGATTAATTTTCCCCAAATCATTTTTTGTTTTCATAACAATTAATCTTTTACATTCTATTCAACCTATTCCAACTTTTTTTCATATCATTTTATACCTAAATTTCAAAATGTTGGCATCGGTTAAAGGCATAGGTTTTATAGAGGTTTGCGAGATTTTCAACCTTTTAGAAGAAACGCCAGATTCGTCAACTAATTCAATAAACCCTGTATATAAATAAAATGATAAAAATAAGACAAAGAAATAAAACTATTATTGGAATTTTGGTAATGAAATGAATGCCCTGCTTCAGAGAGAAAAAAAATGTGTATGATAACGCTTTCCTTGGGGGAAAAAATAATTGTACAATGTTAAATTGGTACGTAAATGTATTTCTTTTTTAAGAAATGTCCTGGAAGTCTCATTGAAGTGCAGGAAGTTTTAGATGGATTTAAGGAAAACATGGACGATTCACATTGTAATTTAACATGTCACCATTCTTCCAAGTGTACTTCTCTTCTACCGTATTTTGTTTTTTGTATAAAATATAAACTGTAGCATGAATGGAACTACTACGTGCAGAAACAGTAATTAAAACTTCACATTTAAACAGATAAGTTATACAATTAACAAAATTCAAAAGCGAGTTAAAAAGTGCTTGGAAGAAAAATGTCCAAGTATCACTCTGCAATGTCTTCAAATCATATCTACTAATCGAAACTGTTAGATACTGACATATGATATGAAAGAATACTATCACTTGTTTATTACAATTACTAAAATCTAGTGAATTGTTACAAGTAATTTAGCTCAAACTAAAATACCTTAGTGATCCAACTCACCTTAAACCGAAAAATTTATTAACAGCGGGTTCAAAAACCGCATGATGATATGTCCATTACTGCTTCCTGTAATTAAACCATGTTATAATGCATTTGTCAAATGTCACATTAATTAAGATGATTTATTTTGTCAAATTTCACTTTATGTTTATTTTAATTTTGTATTAATATTTTAAAGTCTATCACGTTTGTTATCTCCAACATGTCTATTCGGGAAGAAGAAAATAAGGTTCTATTTTTTTTTTAAATATCAACAAATATTTTCATCATATATTGTATGGTATCCACGTGATACTGGTATACATGTATATATGTTTATAAACAAAAATCCTTAATTTTCATTGTTTTATTATGTTACTTCTTAATACAATGAGATCGGCAACACATAGAGTTGCCTTCATTTTCACTATCACAAGTATCAACAATAGTTTTGAGTACACTTAAACTGGTTGTAGATTAATTTTCCCCTAATTATTTTTTGTTTTCATAACAATTAATCTTTTATATTCTATTCAACCTATTCCAACAATTTTTCATATCATTTTATACCTTTCTTTCTTTCTTTATTCTCAATAAACCATATACATAGGTATAGAGAAGACATTTATGTACAGTATTTACAATAAGACAGAACAAACAAGACAATTGATAAGACAATGTATGAAATAAATTTTAGCCAGGAGCACATATACCTGTGTTGATAATCTTTATAAATTTACAAAGTTTAATCAGTTTTGATTTGTGTTTTGAAGACATAATCTGCTTGTATTTTACAATATTTGCATTTTTAAAATAATAATGTGACATACAATGTTTCCTGTTTTCTTCAAAGTATTTACATTCTAATATGTAATGAAATTCATCACCAATGTCATTTTTATTACATAGAAGACACAGTCTATTATTTCTAACTATATTGTTCCATCTACCCTGTTCAATAGGGAGCTTGTGATTTGTGGTCCTAAATCTACACAAATCAATAGATAGTTTGTTCCCAAGAATTTCAAAATAATCTTCTTTTCCAAAAAAATCTTTAAAAAGTTTATAATTAAGTGCTTTTGGTGAGTTTTCAAGCAGAGAATGCCAGACTTGTACAAACTGATCTTTAAGTCTGAGCTTGATGAATGAAACTAACCATTTGCAATTTATAAATGATTGTGTTTCCCATACATTTGGGATACCACATTCATTTAAAATAGTCTTTACTCTGTTTAACCATGAAAAATTCACATTGTCATTAATAGACATGTGATAACACAATTTATATAAAGTATATGATAGTTTCGTCACTTTACCAGAATTTAATTTCCCCCAAAATGAGATCAATCTAGTTTTTATGTCCAAGTCTATAGGATATTTTCCAAGCTCCCATAAATCATGTAAGAGGGTGTTGATGTTTTCAGACCTAATAATAATTTACAAAATTTCAGTTGTACCCTTTCAATTATGTCATTATTTCCAATACCCCATACTTCACAACCGTACAGTAATATTGGTTTCACCATTTTATCAAATAAGTCCAACTGACTACATATAGAAAGATTATGAAGACGACCTAGTCTTAACACTTCGTAAAGAGCCTTAGTGGCCTTTTCTACGTTAAATTGTTTTGTTTTATTAAAATTGCCTGTTCTTGTTAGAATAATGCCCAAGTAGTTAAATTCATCAACGATATCCAGTTTTTTTCCATTAAAGAAAAATTGAAAATTACATGATGGTCGTCTCCTTGAAAAAACTACGACCTTTGTTTTATCAACATTTACTTTTAGCCTCCATACATCTGTGTAATCTAGAAAACAATCTAATAGTTTTTGGAGTTCAGTTGCGGATTCGGCCATCAACACAGTATCATCAGCATACAGAATAATAAAAAGTTTTAAAAATATGTCAAGTTTTTCTTCAAGCTCTGTTGACACTGATTTAAGGCCCTCTATATTACATGTTTGCAAAAATGAATCAAGATCATTTAAAAATAGAGAAAAAAGAAAAGGCGATAAATTTTCGCCTTGTCTAACCCCGTTACTACATGGGAAAAAATCAGACATGGAATTGTTATATGAAATACACGACTTAGTACCTTGATACATATTAACAATTACATTATAAATACATCCATTCATATTATTCAAAAGCATTTTGTACCACAGTGCGTCTCGCCAAATCGTGTCAAACGCTTTTTCAAAGTCGACGAATGCACAAAATAATTTTTTCTTTTTTAATTTTAAAATTTCAAACAATGAATGAATTACAAATAAATTATCAATTGTTGAATAACCCTTTCTAAAACCACATTGGTTTTCGTTTAAAATCATAAATTCTTCAGAGAAAAGATCTAGTCGCTCGCATAAAATTGCGGTAAAAAGTTTCCCCATACAACTCAAAATGGTAATAGGTCTAAAATTTTTGGGGTCCAACTTGCTACCTTTATTTTTATAAACAGGCTTAATGTAACCAATTAACCAACTGCCAGGAATAGTACCAGTGCGAAATATAACGTTAAATAATTTTTCGTATAATTCAATGAATAAGCCAGATGTCGACTTGATATATTCATTTATTATATGATCATCCCCAAATGCTTTATCATTTTTCAGGTTTTTAATTCCCTTAAGAATTTCGTCTTTTGAAATTCTCGTGTTTAAATTTTCGTTAAGTCTGTCAACATCATTCGGATTTAGAGTTGGAATATTTGTATTTTCTTCATCATCTGGGGCCGCGTTCAAGTTTTTGAAAAAATCGAACAATTTAGTAATAGGGATGTCGGGTTGGTCTCTTTTTTTTCTACTGTTCAACAATTTCCAATACTCTTTTGAGTTATTGGATCTCAATACGTTTATTTTTTTAGCCATTTTGTTTCTATGTGCAATAATTGCTTTATCTAAAGTTTTTTTGTATTGTTTCGCCGAAGATTTCATAATTTGGCAGTTTTGTTCTGATCTATTGTTTTTAAATTTTCTTTTGAGCTTGCGATAATTTTGGCGAGCAAATTTACAGTCACTGTCAAACCATTCTTTATCAAATTTTACTGGCTTGTTTTTAGATTTCTTTGAACCACTAGTTTTAGTAACCCCAAATGTTGCCTTGGCAGAGTCCAAAAATAAGTCACACATGTTATCTACAATCATGTTCAATTCATTTTTTTCAAAAATCGCATGATGATATGTCCATTACTGCTACCTGTAATTAAACCATGTTATAATGCATTTGTCAAATGTCACATGAATTTAGATGATTTATTTTGTCAAATTTCACTTTATGTTTATTTTAATTTTGTATTAATATTTTAAAGTCTATCACGTTTGTTATCTCAAACATGTCTATTCGGGAAGGAGAAAATAAGGTTCTTTTTTTTTTAAATATTAACAAATATTTTCATCATATATTGTATGGTATCCACGTGATACTGGTATACATGTATATGTTTATAAACATGTCTATTCGGGAAGGAGAAAATAAGGTCCTATTTTTTTAAATATCAACAAATATTTTTATTTCCCCACAATAAAAAAGACACTAAATACAGATCGGAGAATACACGAAGTAAACTGTTTTCTTATATTCCGGCAAACCTTATCATTAACCATCAGGATAACCGTTGTTTAGAACTGTCTACTGATAGGACAACAGTTATATTATCTTTATAACCGACCGGAGGTCTAACTACGACATATCAGCGGAGATATTTTCTTAAAGGATTGCACATTAAATTTTACCTATGTTGTTATATAGCAAGATGTTTTTTTTCTCGGAAATCATATTTTACGAGCAAATTCTGATATTCTGTACTTAAAATGTTCATTTTTATTAATAGAATGGTTCTTTTTCCAATATTATCCATACAATATCTGACAATTTTACACAACCTGTAACTAGAAAAAAGTTCCTTGTTGATTACTTTCATCGTAACTGTTAAGCTCTCGACAGCATCATCTTTATAGTCTTTCATACAAATATGTTTATTGTAACGGATATGACAACCGAATTAAAAACATAAAAAAGATTTTTAGTTTGCTGTATATTCAAAACCTGACCATAAAAATTTTGTGATTAACAAATAGGCTAAATGCATCGCTGTGCACTTCTTGTTGCCCGTCAAAGAAATTTTTTTATTTAAATAAAATCAAAAATATAAAGACTAGGTCTTCAACATACCAAAAAGTTGATCCTAGAAATAAGAAGAGGGGGTATAATCACCAATAAGACAACACTCCACCAGAGACCGAATGACATAAAAGTTAACAAGTATAGGTCACCGCACGGCCTTCAACAAGGAGCAAAACCCATATCGCATAGTAAGCTATAAAGGCCCCGAAATGAAAAATGTAAAACAATTCATACGAGAAAACTAACAGCCTGATTTATGTAAAAAAAAACAATGAACGAAAAACAAATATGATATACAGCAACAAACGACGACCACTGAATTACAGACTCCTGACTTGGAACAGGCAAATACAGAATGTGGCGGGGTCAAACATGTTTGCGGGCGGCCAACCCTCCCTTAACCTGGGACAGTGGTGTAACAGCACAACATATGAACTAACTATAAAAATCAGTTGATAAAGGGCTTAACTCATCAGATCGGTACAAAGCAGAAAAACAAATATCAAAAACACAGACAGGACGTGGCAGGGTATTGATACATCACCACAATAATCAATAAACAATATACAGATCGGAGAATACACGCAGTAAACTGTTTTCTTATATTCAGGCAAACTACATCATTAGCCACCAGGATAACCGTTGTTTAGAACTGTCTACTGATAGGACAACAGTTAATGTGAAACCTTGTAACGGTGGAAGTGAACAAGTATGGGCCTGGCCTCGTCGGACGCTTAAGAAAAGGTCGTGATTCGAACTGATAGTAGACCATTTACGTTAACATCAACCAAACATATGGGCACTAGATACACGTAGCAGTCTTCTATTTGTTATTAATACAATGGACACTTGTGAACTATAAACAATCATAAAACTCATTTATTTACATTGCTGAATCTTTTTGCTTGTTGGTTTATACAGTGGATTAATTTAAAACAAATATTCACTGAAAATTGATTTAATTGTTTTTTAAACCCTTTACACGAGTAACCCTCATTCTTACGAACAGAAAGACCGACAAACCTTGTTGCATATATAAGGACACCGCAGATACAAATATCTTATTTTAGGAGGGGACAAAGATTGTTTGGAAAAACACTCTGATTCAAACGAAATTGTTTGTCGTTTTCTGAAACTGATGATATACACAAAATAACTGATGACGATAAATCCAGAAAAGCGCTTCGATCACTTAAAACGCATACAGTGTTATCATTATTTATATTTTTTGATTATGAGTCAGACTTCAAAAAGACGCTTCTCAGGAGAACTAAGCATTACCCTTTAACATTACAGTCTGCTCTTTAGACGAAGTCCTCTCACTGAACAATTCAGTTTGTTAACTATATAGATCTCTAGATCAACATGGTCAACAAATTTGAATTATTAATTTCGAAGACTTCATCTGTATATTTTAATGTTCTAGCTTCTTGCATTTAGCAGACTCGTCTGGAGGATTTGTTTTTTGATAATACCAATGCAGTTTCTTCATACGAACAAAGGGAAGGCAACGAGAAGAATTGAAAAGTTTGTTCCAAATTCCGACTGCCTGGTAAAAACAGAACGTAACAAATGTGTAAACAACCAACAAGATATCAAAACAATGATTTGCACTTCTTTGTCACCATTTCGCAGAGCTACTTAGTAAAAAATGACTGATTCAAATTAAATAGGCAGATATCATGGGAATTATTAAAATGATAGGATGGTAACTCTTGCCGTTTTTAAAATTCTGAATTAAATAAAAAAAAATATATGATTCCAATGGGAATATGGCTTTACCTTGAAAGTTGACTTGTTTCCTATGGAGGATAATCTCTAATTAGAATTAAAAACCGCAATGGAAGAAGGTATTACCTATGGGAGAACACTAATTCCAATGGGAAATACAAAAATTGGTCTCACAAAGATCTTTTAACTAAAAATGGTTCAAGTCTTGTTTATTTTATCTTTTATAGATTTTAATAGTTAAAGTGATATAAATTATTATTCATTTTGTGCTAAATTAACATTGATTAGATATATCAATAAAATTGATGATATAGAAATTAAATACACAGGGGCGAATACATAGTCGTTTGGGGTACACAAAGAGATCTTCTCGTGAAGGGGGGGAATGCCACGCTTTCTGCATATGAGTGCCCTTTAACACCCCTTTCAGGGACCCGTCGTTGGTCCATTGCAAGGCAAATGATTGCCATGTCCGAATGTCGTCCTTTTCCAGAGCAAGTCTAAATATCCCGCTTTTCATTGTTGTCTTCCCATTTCGTATATATCTGTTTTAATTTTTTAACTCCAAATATTTGCCATTGGACGTTCAGCCGAAAACAGTCGTTGTTCAGTGTATAATATTAAAAAATAAATTTCTAAAAATATATTGCAAATTGTTTTTCAATGCAAAGTATGCCTCTATGTCATCAGTGTAAAAGGTATGTCTCTGTTGATTGATGTCCGTTCGCTATTGCTATTACTATTGCACGAGGATAATAACTTTATATATTAAAACAAATGGATTTCCTCTCTAATTCAGTTCAGCAGAATATATTATTCTACATTGCTGGTAAACAACAATACGGAATAAGGGGTCAGCATCCATATTCCTTTTCATTTGGCCCAAGAATCGCACGTTCTGGACAGTCATTATAATCACTCAGACACTTTCTGCCTGCAATTCCTTTGTTCAGAAAATCGAGAGCTTCATTAACGGATAATTTTTCTTTTGTTTTATCTTAACCAATTATTACCATGGGATTTGTTTTAATAATAAAATATAAACAATGAAATGTACTTAGATTGTGGTTTACCATCTACGTCGTCTGGTCTGCTAAGTACCGAATGTGACCTATTCTCGAATATGATTGTTTTGCCGAATGTGAATTCTCATTGCTATTAGACGTGTCTCGGTATTTATACGTCCACCATTCATGTATTTAGTTATGACGATCTATGATGTTTCTTTCGTAAGTCTGGTTGAATATTGTGTTATGTCTTATCGTTTGCGGTTTTAATTCTATTTCTATTTTCTATATGTATGTAACAGTTAAGATAATTAATCAGCTAGTTCATTTATATGATTTTTAGTTTAAAGCAACTATATAGTTAGAAAATACAAATAATTACACCATTACTAACACAATTCTATATTAATATTCTTGTAATGGTTAGAAAATACATAAAATAACACCATTACAAACTTAATCCCAATTTTATATTCTATTTTTATAAATTTACCTGTGACGTCACTTTTTGAGCCGTTGATACATGATTGTGACGCACAGTTCATAATTCCATTGTGTTGTACTCGTTTAATGTGAATTAATGGAAGTTTGTCCGTTTTAATTCTGTGGTTTACATGTTGTAATGTACTATTATATTATTTATTTATGTATTTGTCTGTCCTGATTGTTTTTGCGTTTATTTGTACTGTATTCCTGGCACGTAATGTTGTCATTTTAGCGGTATTTTTAACATTGTCATATAAGCGGGAGGTTTGTCTAGCCATAAAGCCAGGTTCAACCCACCATTTTATTCGTAAAATGTCCCGTACCAAGTCAGGAATATGGCAGTTGTTATCAAATAGTCCGTTTCTATGTATGTTAGCGTTTGTTTTTGTAGCAGTTCAATGTTTCTGTTGTTCCGTTGTTTTCCTCTTATAGTTGATGTGTTTCCCTCGGTTTTGGTTTGTGACCCGGATTTGTTTTCGCTTTATCGATTTATGACTATTGAACAGCGGTATACTACTGATGCCTTTATTTATAATGATTTGTTTGTTTGTTGTTTCATTAATTGAGGTTGATTGTCTGAATGGAAACGGGAAATGTGCCAAACAGACAGTAAGCCGACCAAAGTGCAAAAAACAGCCCTAGGCCACCAATAGTTCTTCACAACGCAGCAAGAAAATCCCGCACCCGGAGGCGTGCTTCAGCTGGCCCCTGATGAATAATTATACTAGTTCAGCAAAATGGACGCCACACTAAACTCCGAAACATACAAATGAACTAATAATTCAAAAAAAACAGACAAGACTAACAAAGGCTGACTTGTGATTGGCGAAAACATGCAGCGGGATTAAACATGTTTTGTGATATCTCAACCCTCCCCTATACCTCTTGTCAATGTGGAATAAACAAACACACAGCAACACCCATAGTAAAACTTAGTTTAAAAGAATTCCGAGTCCGATTTCTAGAATAGGTAACAGAAGAAACTAAGCAAAATGACAATGTTTAACATAAATTAACAAAGGACTACTATATATATAGCAGTTATCGACATGCCAGCTCCAGAGCTCAACTAAACTGATCGAAAGATTATGTCTTCATCAAATGAAAATCAAGAACAATTCCTCCCGTAAGGGGTTTAGTATCATGCCATCATAAATTATACGAGAAGAGCATAATCCGTATCATACCAACAACTGGTTTTAGAATAAAGACCCTTTGAGTGAATCAATATTGATTTCTTACGTATAATTCAACTATTTAAGGCATTTTCTCAATGTTGATATGTTTAAAATGTTTTCTGAATTTTATGCTATTCACCCAATTAAAATGAATTTAGAAATCTCTTAAAAAGCGCCAAAGAAGAACGTTTTATTTTGATATATTTTCAACCATACTATCATTCTATATGTGCCTGTCCCAAGTTAAGAGCCTGTTTGTCATATTTGTTTTTCGTAAAGTGTTTGATTATAAATAAGGCTGTTAGCATTCTCCATTGAATTGTTTCATATTTTTCATGTCGGTGCCTTTTATAGCCGACTATACGGTTTGGGTTTTTCTCATTGTCGAAGGGCATACGGTTGCATATAATTGCTTACATCCACTTCATTTGAACTTTGGTGGATAGTTGTCTCATTGGCAATCATACCACATTTCCTTAATTTTATAGCAATGCATGGATGATTTTTAACTAGATTGCTTATGTCTCAACATCTTGTACTTTTTCGGTTTTTTATTAGCATTTATTTATTACAATTGAACTGTGTCCTTTTGATCTCGAGATAGAAGATTGCAGCATTAAATAAATTATGCGATAAAAGAGGGACGAAAGATACCAGAGGGACAGTCAAACTTATAGATCGAAAACAAACTGACAACGCCATGGCCAAAAATAAAAAGACAAACAGAAAAATAATAGTACAGATGACACAACACAGAAAACTAAAGACTAAGCAACACGAACCCCACCAAAAACTGGGGGTGATCTCAGGTGCTCCGGAAGGGTAAGCAGATCCTGCTCCACATGTGGCACCCGTCGTGTTGCTTATGTTATTACAAATCCGGTAAATAGTCTTATTCGGTATGTCACATTCGTGAAAAGGGAAGGGTATTGTAGTTACGACATAAGGAACATATCCGATATCATCTGTGAAACGGTTATTCCATAACCGTCAACCAACTCGTGATGGCGTCCATAAAATTTACGAAGGGATGTTTTCAACTTCACCATTTGGAACTCTTGGTTTAATAGCTTCCTTGTGAGCAGTAATCCTCTATCAAGGAAATCATGATAGGAAATACAAGCCCGGGAATATCGTATCAATTGGGAGATATATACTCCGTATGCAGGCGCTGCTGGAATGTTGCTACATAGAAATGGAAAGTTCACAATTGGGAAGCTGAAATCATCTCTTTTGTCGTAAAGTTTTGTTTTCATCCGACCCTCATTGTCAATTTCTAGATGTAAGTCAAGATATGAGGCAGATTTAACTGCATCTGTAGTATCCTTTATCTCTAGTTCGATGGGATAGATTCGTTCAACATATTTACCAAATTTTGTATTATTTAGTGAAAGAACATCATCTATATAGTGGAACGTAAAGTTAAAGGATATTGCTAACTTCTTATCTTTCTTCCTAAGAAGTTCCTGTATGAAGTCAGCCTCATAATAATAA